GTCAGACACTGTATTATATGTCAGACACTGTAATATATGGAATATCTAGCTCAATGCAGTTAGGTAAGCTGTAGTTTAGACAAAGCTGTGATGTTTAGCCTATTGTCAAAGATGTGAAGATATGCTTTGATTGTTCAGGACAAATCATACAGTTCTTTCCTCTTCTGTTTCTTAGACAATGTAAATCTGGTAACGGTTTTGCTTCGACGGCGTCGTTGAAGGTCATCAAACTCTATGTGTAAAACTGTGTTCACAAACAGTTCTTTTGCCGCGAGTTTATGCATTCGTTGGAATTTCTTGCCATCTGAATGTACGTATAAACGCATAGTTAAGGACTGGGTGTCTTGACTGTCATATCCTTATGGGATTGCTCCGATACAGCAAGGGTTTGCAAACATGAATTTCATGGCTAATGCGCTGGCTTGTATTTGCAGCGACTTTAGCATTAAAGTGGAAACCAGATAGGGAAAGAGAGATTATGCGATTCTAAAAATATAATAATCTTAAATATAACAAATCTATTCATCTTCTTTGTCCTAGTCCATTGGAATTTCATCATCCTCTTGGTCTAGCAGTTCGGCAATTGCTGCGTCGACGTAAATATTTGCAAATGTACTCTTCCTTTTGTTTCAAACCACAACAATACTTCGAAGTTTGTCATGGTTTAGATTCATTAAAATTTTTCTTTCCAGCTTCTAATATCCTAATCTCGATGTTCTTCGCGCAGTTTTAGATTTTGAATTTTCCTGACTTTAAGGTGGCTCGCTACAGTTTATAGAAATGTTGAAAATGCGTAAACTAGATCACCTTTTTGAAGAGATGATGCTCTTTACAAATCGAAATTTGTATATTATATATACAGCGACAATCAAACAGTCGAAAATTGGTCAGAAAAGTGACGTCACCACTGTTGCTATGGGAACAATGACGATTCAAGATGGCCGATATTTTGGCTTTGAACGCATTTTACTTTAAAAAAAGGTCGGTTAACCCCCATTTTTTATTTCAGAAAACATTTTCTTATAGTACAATACACTATCTGACAAATTTTTAAAAAATTCTGTAAATGCCAAATTTTTAAAAAATTTATAAACATGGTTTTTCGAAATAAATTTTTTTTTGCATTACAGATTTTTTTAAAATTGGTCAGATTGCATTGCACTATAAGAAAATGTTTTCTGAAATAAAAAATGGGGGTAACCGACCTTTTTTTAAAGTAAAATGCGTTCAAAGCCAAAATATCGGCCATCTTGAATAGTCATTGTTGCCATAGCAACAGTGGTGACGTCACTTTTCTGACCAATTTTCGACTGTTTGATTGTCGCTGTATATATAATATACAAATTTCGATTTGTAAAGAGCATCACCTCTTAAAAAAGGTGATCTAGTTTACGCATTTTCAACATTTCTATAAACTGTAGCGAGCCACCTTAACACATTTCGATTTTTTCTTTTTATCAGCTAATATCGAACGGCATTCTACCACATGTAACAAAGCTGAACATGATACATTTGACAATTGTTTTTCTGTGCAATTGTTTTTTCGCCGGACTCTAACAGTCTCATTATGCTCTTTGACGCCAGTTCCAACCTCGCCAAGTAGACCTCGCCAAGTTGAGAGAATCACCACAGGTCATTATTTGATAGATAGTCAATCAGTGCGAAATGGATTGTTATCCATTTTGTTTATCTGCTTAATATTGGTTTCTAATTATCCGCGGGTATTCAGTCCTTTTCCCAAAACAAACGCATATACATTCAATTCACAAGCATATTCTTATAGGTTTAACACACAATAGTAATGTTAAAATATATTTAATTTACGCTTACCATCCAGGAATTCCTCCTCAAGTCCCTTGTTTTTCAACTTCAGAACTACTTTGTGCTCAGCTTATATTAAAAAATTGCAAAGTCAATTCAAACACACGTCACTTCTGTTATATATGCATTAAACCTTCGGCATTCCTGGAGGTAGATAATTCGTTGTCTTAGCATCCTCTCTTTCAGTATCTTCTTCCCCACACTTCTTGCTCCATTTTGTTTTTTGCCGATAAACATAATCACACCTATACCCCAAATACATCTTCAAAATTGCGATAGATAGAGAGAGACCCCCACCCGAGATTACCTTTCCGCCTTTCCAAAGGCATTATGCAATTTTCCCGATATTGTACAGGACATTTTTCACCATGATATGCAAGCCATCATTTATTTGCATGTCTATGATATTATTTCGGTATATTTCATACGGACGGGTTTAAACATACATCTTTAACTTAATACTCTCGTGGTTCATTTATAGGTATCTTTTTTCGATTGTTAAATTGACCAATGTAATCCATTGACATTATGACATATTTTAGATGATAATGAAACTACAAATACCAAACATATAATAACAATATATACAATACAATACCAAACAACGGTTTAGAAAAAGACAGGTGATTCATAGAAAAGACTTGTGATGTCTTGATGACAAATGGAGAAGAACCGGTGATACATGGGAAAAGACGGGGGATACGCCTTTCGACTGAGTGAATGTTTCGCCCATTTTTTTCTTACTTCTCGTCTTATATTATCTGCAAGTTAAAATAAAAGTCTACTTGTTATATCATATTGTCATTTATATATGTTTGGTATTTTCACACTATCCGTGCTTTATAGGTATCTTTGAGAGTCCTAAATGTTTGATTATTTGCAGTAACTAGCTGAAAGCTGGGAAATGACGTAGAGCCAACGTTTTGATTTTAATTTTTTTAAATGAACTGAAGAATCTTTTAAGAACATAAAGAATGACAAACTTAATTTTAAAGCACATAATTAAACAAAACGTGCAGACAATTTTATATTTATTGTATATAATATATGTATATTAATTTGTTGCCTGCAATGTGATTTGACTCGCATCTTCGAGCTTCTTGAAGGCCAAGGAAGGGGGCAGTAAAGAGGGGTCGTAAACTCGTAATACTTTCATTTATGACATGACCCTGAAAACAGAAAAAATTTCCCGGGGACCCCGGCCGGTCAGATACGCCCTTTATTTTCCAGAATTTATAGCAGCTCCGAGGAATATCGTTGCACCGCCGCACCGTCATAAAGTATTTTTCTGAATTATTGCACGAGATTCAGCGACGTTTTTATTTGCCAGAATTGTTTTTAATTTTTGTTAAAGCATGCTTCTTGTCATTCAGCAATTAACACAAAATTTCAATTGCTCTCTTGAAATTCCGAGTTCGAACTTGAAATTTTATTGATATATACCTTGCATTTGTTGTGTCTCATAGTGCGAATTTTCGAGTTCCGACTAATAAGAAATAGTCGATTCGGTGTAACAACGGAAACTTTTACTTGCAATGCTATTAAATTTCAACTTATGGCGAAAAATTTCAATCTATAACGCAACATTTTTACTTGTAATGCCATATTTCGGCACACACCGGAAAAGTTTGATTATTCATAAATTTATAAAATCGTTTAGAATATCACGATAAATCAAAATTTCAAGTCGAAATTGCATGCAAAGAGTTGAAATTTAGAGTTAATTGTTTAAAGATGGAAAACTTATTACAATCGAAATTTTATTAACTATTGTTTTGCAAATAGCGACATCTTTCGACCAATTAGAATCATTTGGTCTGGATTAAAGAAACTGTAGTAGAAACTGCGAACGTAGTAGATCTAAACTGTGAAATTCAGACAAATTTTATGTTACGGCGTGCCCCTCGCTAGCTAGTGTAGAAATTAGTTACTGCAACTCACTTGCGAATTGAACTGACTTTTTTCTTTGCTTGTGGTAATTCACCTTCAGACGCTTCAGATTCGTCGGAACTATGAGGTGGCTTGTACTCGTCCACTGATGATAAATCTTCCTCGTGCGTGATCAAAGCTAACAGTTAAAGCATAGAACGACTAGCGTATTTCCCTAAAACTAGTTTTCTTCGACACTTTAGGTTTCGTTGCTGTTTAGATTTTTGTGGTCGATGCGTCATTAGCCTTCAAACTATATACAGACACTTTACTCAGAAAAGAAGACCACTTTTTCTATTCAAATTGGATTGCAATTTTTTGTTACCTGCTAACTTGATATCTCTTGGGTTCTTTCCTTTAAAAAGGTGAAGCCGACCTTCGTCTACGGCCATAGCAAATTTCCTACCACAGCCGTCTCCATGCAGTGTTGTCTGTGGCAATCTGTAAAATTCCTTGTGGACATGAATGTCGTGCCCAAGATGGTTTGCTAACCATCCCATTTCGGACTCATTTATGTCCACAAGTTGGCTCACGGTGGCGACATACTTTCTCAAGTTTGTTGTCTTGACCAGGTTGGGTTGCTCGAGCTGAACTTTGGCGCACGTTTTCTGCAGAACATCGTGTCCTGTTAAAACAATTTTCTGATTTGCCATATTTGACGGCGAAGACAAATTCGTTGCCCTCACTAACTTGCAATCTTGTCGCGATTTGTTTAGCACAATGATTGCAGCTTTCACGTCTTCCGTTAGGATAACTGGCACTTTCCGCCTATCTTGCCAATAATAATAGTATGACATTCTTTAATGTTTTTCCATATCTCTTTTCGTTTTCGAGATATTGCGATTTGCTTGATATAGAAATAACACAACTTTCTACATCACTCTGCATAATGAGTTGTTGTAAAATTTCAAATATCTTTTCTGTTTTTGAGAAAACTTTGCCAGAATTACGATGATTTGAAGACTTTGCCAAATATTATGCGCAACAAAGAGTTTCAAGGAATTTAAATAAAAATAATTCTATGATAATAAAAATATTACTGATGATTCATCAACTCGTACAATGTGACGCAGAAAATTGGGTTACTTACATATCAAACCAACCTAAAGTTCTTTCCAATAAGAATATTTTTCAATAACCATCATTCATGAATTACTCATACAATGTGACGCAGAAAATTGGATTATTTACATATCAAATCAACCTAAAGTTCTTTCCAATAAGAATGTTTTTTCAATAACCATCATTCATGAATTACTCATACAATGTGACGCAGAAAATTGGATTATTTACATATCAAATCAACCTAAAGTTCTTTCCAATAAGAATGTTTTTTCAATAACGTAAAATTCGCTACACACGCCCTTTAAAGCAATGACCGAAATACGGTTGTGCATAATATTCAAAATAACTCCGGCCAATGTTATCCATCATAGTCTGCGGTTTCGAAAGATAACGGTGACCTCGGTCTTAATCATCCTAGACATTCCGCTCAGCCTCGTGCAATAATACGTGACAAAGATGTTATTTACCTCGTCTCTTGTTGAACATAATCAACATTGTCAGGCAGATTTCTGCTAGTTCGCGCCAATTTTCTTTCGTTGGCTGCTGATCTACTTCAGTGAAACGAGATTCGAGATTCTCTGAACGATGAAATGTCGCACCACGTTCAAATCGTTCGTCAGCGGTAAAACAGCAGGCTGATTGTGCTTTTTAGAGCAAGGTTGTTCAGTGCAGGCGGCGTTACCTTGTTGTGCCTATTGGCCTCGTACAACTGCAGGAATACGTCATGCAATGTCATCTTTTTTCAACATGTTTTTCTCTCGTAGTGCTTGGCACCGTATGACAACTGCAGCCCTTCTAAGTTCATAACCGCAGTGAACTGCAGTTGCGGGTGCCCTAAACGTCTTCTTTGACGACAATCCATCATTCTTTTTCATATCCAGCGATATATCTTTTTACTGTCGTTTAATGGAAATCTATTTGAATTAAAATGTGCAGTGGAGTGTAAGTATAAAGTTCATCTCGAGACTCAGTGAATTTGGAGTCAATACCGGATTCACGAAAGCATTCGCCGCTAGTGCAACTTTCATAGTTAAAAAACATTCTTTGTAAAACTCTTCTCAAGGATCTTCGTTATGGGTTTCATCCGTGGGCGGAGTTTCATCCGTGGCAGCCTTTTCATCTTCGTCGTGTTGACAATTATCACTTATTTACTGAGACCGAGGGAAACAGTGTGTTTTGTGGACCCGAGGGAAACATCGACGGTCGAGGGACAAAAAACACACTGCTTTCCCGAGGTCTCAGTAAATAAGTGTTTTATTATATATCAATAGTCAAAGAAACAACAAATTAAAGAACAAATGAACATAAATACATGAAATATTTTATTGTTAAAACGTTAAATTAAACATTACAGTTACTTAAAGCGAAAGTTTAAATTAATAGGCATGTCCAAAGGTCGCACCCAGTGAACTCTAAGAGAACTGGAACGATAACTTGGCCGCCATCTTTGAAGCCACTCATGATGGCCGCCATGTAGGTATGTAGTGGAAAATACGCCGCCTAAAAGATGTCTGTTTTCGACCACTAAATAGCTGTATTTCAACAAGGAAAAAAGCTAAAAATTTTCAACAATACCCGAAATTTAATACAAAACATGTTTCCAGAACGTAGAGCAGTTATAAAGTTCTTTTTTCAGGAGTCAAAGTGCGAAGTTTTTTTCGGCACGTTCAAACTTGTGTAATATTTTGAATATCAAGCTGTTACCCAGGAAGTTTTTGCTGTTAGTGGATGTAAAATACTTAGAACTATCCAGGAAACTAGGTTTGAATCTTTAAAGTTGAAGACTTTCGATAAAAAGTGCTTTTTCTTGCTGATTTTCGCTCAAAAACAAACTTTTGACTGAATTTCCCGCTCCTCGAAACTCTCCCCAGTCCTTTTGAAAGTTAATTTATTGCTCGCTGAGCTTGCGAGAAGCGCCATCTTGGCTTCGGGAAGGCTTCGGGCAAGTATGGGCATGTGTACCTGCAGTTAGCGTTCCAGTGTTATTACAGTTCACTGGGTCGCACCTTCACGTGATGGCGCACGTGATTTTTTTTCGTTATTCGTCGGTCGATAACGTATTGTTTCCCTCTCGCGCTGTTGCGAGGGAAACAGTCTAATTTCGTCACTCTCACGTGATATGCTCTCGACCAATAAAACGCATAGAAAAGTGCGACTTTTATTATTGGTATATAATACACACACTTCTTCACTTTCAAGAAACCGGCTGCGATAACCATACTTCCTTGTTTTACAAGCTTTGTTTGGGTGTTTAATAGCCATTACTTGCTTACCATTTCCCTTGTATTTCAACTTTGCACTATCCCTGCTCACGGCGATCTTTCAGTTTTTTTTTGTTGTCTCTGCGGGGCAATGTATTTCCTTGAAAAATATCATTTGGGGTATTGGTTTTCAATTATTTAGTTCCGTTGGTTCAGCAACATTAACGTTCACTTAAATTGACCAGGAAATGTTTTCCCATAATAATTGCTTAACAGAAAGTTGAAACCAGGCCGTCAAATTTGCAGTACCTTATTATATACTTATTTCTTGACCATAACAGTTTGATTTCATTGACCGCATTACAGTAAGAAAGGTTGAGGTTGTTTTTGAAAAAGCAAACGTTTATGGAGCCTTAATTTCAAGGCTGATTTTCGCAAAACCACGTTTACTGAATTATTTAATTGTTAAAACAAAAATTAAAAATTTATTTCAAATTTTTTGACTGCTCCCATGATTTTAAGTCTTTTATGTCGATTAAAACTGACTTTATATAATAATAGAATACAGTTTTCAATTTTATTGCGGCTATAAATACTAAACTGATTATTCGCAGGGAATGTTTTTCTCGTGTAATTCCGATATCCGTTCAGGTTTTCATTCCCTTCATTGAAAAATGTAAAACGCAGTTTGTGCTGAATTGCGTAGGAATGTCGCTTTCACCAAATGTTGGTTACTGTGCAAAACTGTTGAATGCAGCAATGTAAAAATGAGTGACGTATTAATTAACGTGCTTATATTGTTTTTGTATTTTTGTCTTTCAATAATAATGTGAATAATTACTGTTTATCGTCTATTCCTAAACTAACGGTATATGTTATCAAATGTTGTTATGTATGTTACGTATATTTGTGGAAATGGTCAAAAGTTTCATCTAAATGTTTGTTGTGTAATATGTTAAATGTTTCTTTCTTGTTGTTTAATAGATGTCAAATGTAACTTTATGTGTTCCTCATTTCTTCAACAGTCTGTCTTTTCCGGACACGATTCACTTCCTATGCCTAACATTGCTATTATTTTGTGACTATTCAGTTGAGTTGTGATTATCTGTTCCAAAGTAAGCCTCTTGCTAATCAAACCCAGTTTTTATGGATCGGACACTCGCCAGGTAAAGCAGTACAGAGTTTAACTAAACCCGTTCCAAGATTGTGGAAACAATTTCCATAACTTAAGTTTGAAGAGTAGTGCGAAGAGTGATCTTTTGGAGACTTGTACCTTGCGATATTCACTTGGATGGACACTTAAGAAATGGTACCTACAAATTCCCTGAAGTAACTTTTATATAATCGATGGAACCACTCCAGAATAGGGTGAATTTCATCTGTTCCGAATTACAGAAAAATTCTATTTTTGTAATTTTTAACACAACTAAACCGGAGCTGATCACTTGAAAGATGCACCTGTAATTGATAACGGAGGCTTTCTGTCTTTAATGTATCTTAAATTTATTTCTATATTGTAACTTTGTCGATCATTACTATTAAAATATCTTATTTTGCTTGGAATATCTTGCCCATCAAGGGCGAAGAACCGATATAATATATATTATAAAAACGATATAAGTTTACGTTAAGATCATTAATTTACTTCTATGTGAATCGTTGTAAAATGTTGTTTTATTCCAGAAGCTTGTACGTGTAGCTATTATGCAATAGAAATATGAAAATAGAAATGAGAAATACGTTTGATACTTCGCTTCATTTGATGAGTAATGATAATTATTGTTTTAGTGCTATGTTCGTTTCCAATGCCTGTTTCCTCCCGTGGTACAGAGCCATAAAGATATCCTGATTGACTTGATTGATTGCGAAAGTCAAAGTAGCAAAGTGGACATATCTGTTTCGAAAGGCCAAATCACACAACGTGGATATGTCTGCTTTGATCACAAAATAAAATTATTTTACGTGTCAGTAGCGGTTTCGATCTCGATTTATTTTATTGCTGGTTAATAAGTATAGGTAATCATGTATTGGCGAGTACAATTAGGAATTGATAGTACGAATGATGTTTGGAAATTTTGCCAAAATTGGACGAGCCGCCCGGGCGAGTCCAATTTGGCAAATTTCCAAACATCACGAGTACTATTAATCCCTAATTGTACGAGCAACATTGCATGATTACTTGTTTGTTATTAGCATGACAAAAGTGGGTACGTACTTCTCAATGTCAACATCATATCCTCTCGCCAAAGCCCAGTCCTGCTATACTTTCAACCAAAATTTGGTGCTTTTGTTCGTATTTTCATTTAGCTCTTTTATTAAAGCAAAATTTGGTGTTTTTGTCTAGTTCCTCTAGGGCAATTTCATTTCACATTTGTGTTTAAAATACCTTTCCGTCATTTTGTTTGTTTTGGGAAATTTATTTACTGCAGTACAATTAATGATGGTATTAGTTAACCTGCACCGTAGCACGAGAACGAACGAATAGCCTCATTAACTGAACGACAGAGTCGTACTCATTCGTATGATAGACGTTTTCTATTGGCTATGAGATGAATTTATTATAATACTCGTAAGCTTTCGTTTGTTGTTTATATTATTAAATATATCAAGCTATATTGACCGTGACGGTAGCGGTGCCAGGGAGTAATGCAATAAATACAGCAATCAATCACATACATTGGTCATTGCTGTTTACAGCGGTAGAAACAACAGTATATACAGTCTACCTGTGGCGCAGAACACAAACTATAAGCTATAAACAAGTTATAGCAAGAGAGATCCACTTGTGCATTTCAGAGTACGTCTATGCGACAGCCTGTGAAAATTCTAGAATAACTTAATGCAAATCAGGCCTATACGGAAATCGTCGTGTTTCCCGTGTTCCAAGTTTTGAAACATGTCTATATAACTTGTATAAGTTCAGCTTTGTAAGCTATTCTGCGCCAAATATATTAATTTCCAATTCAAAATATCACTTCCATATTATCTAAAGTATTCGAGTAGACTTCGTTTTCCCCTAGCTACATCGGCAACAATATTAAATTAAGCAAGTAGCTAACAAAATATACATGCATGTATGGCAAATATTCGGTCAATCTTTTGAAATAACTTAATTACGTTATGGGGTTAGTGCACGGAAAACCGAAAACTCACAGTTGATAGGTATTGTTAAAACCTCTTGGGAAATAGTTTAATTTGAATTTATGCATGCATGTCGTTACTAGTGAGAGTTGAGTTTAGTATAAAATAAATTACAAGCTAGCTAAATTCCGAGTACTCCCAGCATGCGTCAGCTTGTATCACACAATAATGCATACAGTATATTGTACAATCACGAAACTTTATATGGTATATGTGGACAACGAAACGAAGGTCCTAAATCTCAGTTTTATCAGTTTTATGCAGCTAAACAATGTCTTCAACGCTTTCTTAGTGATATATTTGCCAGTAATTAACGCGTCAATGGAAGAGTCGATCAATGTGACTGACATTCAGAGAAACGACGCTTTAAACTTATTTTTTGCCATGCATGCACCGTTAGGCAGCTTTTTTCGTGTGTTTTATACTGCCTGTTTGTCTTAACCGGAAGAGCTGTATTAGCATACAACTCCTGCACGTTGTCGCGCATGTTCATAAACGTTTATCTCGCGCAATGTCATTTATAACAATATCCCAAACTGGACCATTTTGTCTATACTAGGTTCATTCATTAATTAAGGCCTTTTCTACTTCCAATCGTCTAACTCGTCTCGGGAGCCATGATTCAGTTTTTAGTTCTTAACAATGCTATATGCGTATTATTGCAAATTGCAATGTGTAATTTTTTTTTAGTACAAATAACTACATGTACGTCTTGGCTTAACTTTATATTTTTATTCCCTTTGGGCTTTTCAATTTGTAAAAAATGTCATGACTCATGATCATGCAAATTAACTCTTGATTATTAATTACATATTCGTTCGCTCTCGTCTTTACTCGTCTGATGCGTACGAGATTAATTGTGCAATCCAATCAGATTTCAGCTTTCGACCAAAACGCATTTGCATACCTGCATATTCGTTCGTTCTCGTGCTACGGTGCAGGTTAACTAATAGAACGAATAGGAGTGCTATTAATGCCATAATCATACAAGTGATTACAAAATCAACCGACCGCGTAGCGGGAGGTTGATTTGTTAATCACAAGTATGATTATGGCATTAATAGTACGTCTTAATTCGTTCTATTACTTATTAATTATTTATCTTCTGTAATCAAACTGTTTAAGGGAGAAAAGCACAAAAATACAATCTGTTGAAATTCAATATAATTATTAAATTTTTGTCACGACAATTCTTAGTGAAATAGTACAATTTTGAATTAAATTTATCCTAATCAAATTAACATTTTATTAACTTCCGGGTATTATTTCCGGTATAATCACATCACAACATTGTTTGAATTATTCAACACACAAATGGGAAGCCATGTTTGCATGTTTATAACGTGTTCAAAATAGTGAAGTTCTTTAGTTTATTTTAACCTGAATCTGATTCAAATATGACCACTGGTTGTGTCTAGTTCGGTGTCTTCTGCTGGAAGAATAGGTAGGTCCAACCTCGTTCCCAGGCTCTTTGCTCTTGGGAAGCAAAGACCCTGGTCGGAGCTGGTCACGTGAACCCCCAGATTTTGGGGGTAAATTGAATTTGATCTCAGGGAGGGGTAGTAGAGTAGTCTGTTTGTTGCGTTTGGAAAATTGCAACTTTATGTCTTATAATTTCGGGTGATAAAAATGTAATTTGCAACAAGAGATTGTGCAAGGAACTGTTCTAAATTCGTACCGATCATGACAAGACTTCCGCTATACTGACTGTCATCAATAATAAGTGTTGCGTTACATTTCAAGCGAGAAGCTGGATCATATTTCACTTGCAAGGAAAACACTCCACACGCGCCTGGCTTGCGAAGTTTAGCACGTATCGCCGTAGAAACATACATATCTTCTACACAAACTGATCGATCAAACGGTATTAAACGAACGATATGGTTCTTTATAGTTGAAGTGTATCCTGTCCGATATTCAAAACAAAAGATTTATTTTATAACGGGGTCCTTTGTCTTTGATTTCCCAAACATCGCCAACATGTGTAAACAATAGTGCTATTCTGACTGTAAAAGCGCAGGATTAAGACCCGTTATGGACTGGCTATAAAATTCATTTAATTTACATTGCTGAAACTCAACGATCAAGAAAGATAATGTCGAAGTGTAGCTAGCTATCTGTTATCAAACAAACGCCAAGACCCCTCCGTGCGTTTCCGTGCGTGCGGTACAACTTGAATATCTAGGACGATATATGCACCAGACACTGGTATTGTACTTTATATAAATTATTTCATATTTTGTATATACAGTAATTTGCAACATGTATAATATTAGACCTTTCATTGACATTGGCATTGTCCATTGAGGGCTTTATTGAAGAATAATCCAGCTTCTTTAGA